CCCCGCAGCGTGCCTGAGGCGAGGCGCCGATGCTCCGGTCCTGCCCCGCTCGCTGTCAGCTGCGCTCCTGTCCTCGCCGGGATTTATCCGCGGTTGCGTGCCCGTGTGTTTGTTGTTTTTTCCCTGGCCGAGGCCGAGCCGTAGGAAAGTTTCCCCTTGGCACAGACTCTCCCTTCCCTCTCTGCACATCAGAGGCTTTGGGGCCTTTCATGTCACCGGGCCAGCAGATGCCGGGGCCAGGCGGTGGCTGTCACGGCACTCACCATGGTGCCGGGCTCCCACCACAGCCAGCCACGGCTCTGGGGGTCCGTGGCACACAGGGGTGCAGGAGGAGGCTAATCCCGTGCCTTTGGTAAGCGTGGGAAAGTCTCCCGGGAGAAGGGACGGCTTTGGGTTCGGTGCCGGGGTCCGGCTCGCTGCTGGGGATGGGGCTGCGGAGGAGGGCAGCCTGGCAGCGCCGCGGACTCACCGGCCTCGGCACGGCTCTGCTGGGGTGAGCTCAGCCACGGCTGGGGCTTAGAGGGGAACCCCGGGGCTCTGCTGCAACTTAGAGTTGGCTGTGGGCTGGCATTAGGGGCGGCATTAACGTCAGGGTCAGGGTTAATGTTAGGGTCAGCTTTAGGGTTAGGGTTAGAGTTAGGGTTGAGGTTGGGATTAGGGTTGGGGTTAGACTTAGGACTGAGTTTGGGGTTGAGGTTAGAGTTAGAGTTAGGGTTGGGGTTGCGGTTAGCAACCCTAGGTTAGGGTTGGGGTCAGTGGGGGGTGCTCCCGGTGCCTCCCACCAGTGACAGCCCAGAAGAAGGGCCATGACAGCGTGTGCTTGTCCCCCCAGCCACCCCCGGGCAGGGATGTCTGAAGCCCATCCATCTGCCCTGTGCCTGGGGAGCACCCCCAGCCTAGAGTTAGAGTTAGGGTTGGGGTTGCGGTTAGCAACCCTAGGTTAGGGTTGGGGTCAGTGGGGGGTGCTCCCGGTGCCTCCCACCAGTGACAGCCCAGAAGAAGGGCCATGACAGCGTGTGCTTGTCCCCCCAGCCACCCCCGGGCAGGGATGTCTGAAGCCCATCCATCTGCCCTGTGCCTGGGGAGCACCCCCAGCCCCCCGGCATGGGCTCTGGGACCCCTGCCCGAGCCCGAGTGCCTGCCAGGACGTGTCCCCCCAGCCCAGCGTCTCTCCTGCCGCCGGCCCCCTCGGCACTTCCCACCCCGTAAAC